CAGAAGAGCCACCTGCCTCGCGGGGGCTGGAAGGACTGGGCACCCGCTGGTCTGGGGCGAACCCTGCCCCCCCCCCCGCCGCCCCCTGTGGCCCTTGGCCCACGGCTTGAGCCTCTGCCACAGACACACTGGTGGGCGGTACCTCCTCCCACATCAGAGGCCAAGGACCAACAGCGGCTTGTCATCTGTCCTTACAGGTCACCAGCCATTTAGGACCCTATTTCCCTTGGCCACTGCTCCCGTTCATCGGATTTGTTCACGCGCAAAGTTCTGCAAGGCTCAGTCCCAGGTTCCCTGTCCTCCCTCAACTCCACAGAACTCACCAGTTCACACAGGGTGACTGACCCTCAAGGGCACGGAGCCTCTCAGGTCAGATAAACCTGAGAGCGTGCTTCACCAAGTGCGGGACAGAAGGACGCACCTCAAAACAGTAACCAGGTGACCCTGGCCCACCACCTCTAGGTATTGATCTAAAAGGATGACAAGCGCGGACTCAGGTGTCTGCACACCTATGTTCACTGTGGCGGACCCCCAACAGCCAAAACTGGGAGCGGCCCAGGCACCCGTGGCGGCCAGCCGGACGGTGGTCAGCCTTAAACTAGCGGGACACTGTGAGAGCCGCTACGTGAATGAACCTCGTGGGCGTTAAGCTGAGTGAAATGAACTAGTCACAAAAGGACAAATAGTGTAGCATTTCTCTATATGAGGTCCCGAGAGTAGTCACATTCAGAGATGGAAAGCAGGACGGTGGGTGCCCAGGGCTGGGGACGGGGGTAAGTGGGGAGATACTGTGTAACAGGCAGTTTCTGTCTGTGATGATGAGAAAGTTCTGGAGATGGACGGTGGTGATGCGGCCCAACGTTGTGAACATAATTAATGTCACTGAACTGGACACTTTAAAACGGCTAAAACGGGGGCGCCTGGCTAGCTCAGTCGGCAGAGCATGTGACTCTTGATCTCGGGGTCATGAATACAGCCCCACGGTGGGCATAGAGCTGACTTAAAAAAATGGTTAAAATGATAAATGTTATGTATATTTTACTACAATAAAAAGTGGCATGCCTTACTCTACATTGATGGTCTGAAAGTAGGGTCCCTGGACCAGCCTCACCAGCAACACCCGAGAAGTTGTTAGAAATGCAAATTCCCATGTGGATCCCAGACCAGATCTACTGATGCAGAGCCAGGCGGGGGGACTGGGCACGATCTGTGTTTTAACAAGCCCTCCAGGGTGTCCTGAAACCACTGCCCTGCAGAACCCTATTACTTCTAGCTGCTTTCTCCACCCAGGCTCCTCCCTCCCCCTCCCCATCCTTAAAGGCAATTAAGAACCCATTGTCAGGATGCTCAACGGATGGGCTTACCCGTTCCCACCAACACCCTTCCCTGAGAAGTGAACGTTCCCATGGTTCCCCAACATGGCACCGTGGGCCGCACCAGAACTCTATCAATACCTATTTCCAGGCCTCACCCATACAGAGGCCAGTTCAGGAGATCTGGAGAGCCCCTGGGATTCCGGGACTCCACAGAATCCGGGATTCTGCCCGCACTCAGTGAGGTCCTGGGCATGGAGTCAGAGGACCTGGGTCAACTTCTGGCTCTGCCACGTTCCTTCACCAACCACAGCGGTTTCCAGCATGATCTGTGTCTTCTAACTCTGAACACAAGTAGCACCCACCACAAAACCGGCTGCTTCGTGGCTCTGGATACCCCTGGTGACGTAACTCCAGGTCACCGTCCACCTGCCCACCCTTCCTTGCTGTTGCATTCCCAGGCATCTCCCCACCTGACCTCAAAGGCAGGGGCCTGGTGTCAGAGCCTAGATACACAATTCGCCCCCAAACCCTCCGGGCCTCACAGGGAGCATCCCTCAGCCACGCCCAGCCCCGTGGGTCCCAGTGCCTCAGCCCCAGGACGAAAGGGAGCAATGGCGCCAGACTTCAGCAGCGGCCTCTTCCCCAGGATCTGCTGAAATCGCCCCACCCCCATGAATCCCATACAAAGCAGTGCCACCCGGAGGTGACAGATCATGCGTGCCATCTGAAAAATGAGGGCGACCGGGCTCACCTTCGTCTACACAGCTGCCGCTGCTGATTCGTGTGCTGCCTCTCTCCACACCGCACCCCAGCCTGCGAAACCTAGCTCCCGCCCTCCCCTGGTCATCTCCCCACTTCCAGTCCCAGGCACGGACCGACCTCCCCCTGAACCAGGTCAAGACTCTGTCCCTCTGAAAAGCCCTTCCAGGCCAGCCACACCTTTAGCTGCAGCAGTAAGCTCCCAGCCTCTGACCCGCAGTACTTAATGCTCTTACACCCAGGGGTCAAGGCCCAGACTTTGGAATCAGACGGGCCTGCATCTGAGCCCTGGCTTTACCATGAGAAAAGCCAAGGCATCCCGGACAAGCATTTTAAATTCTCCGAGTCGCTGTTCTGCAGCTGTAAGCTACAAACCCAGGCCCAGAGCTGTGGTGAAGAGCACAAGACGAGGTGTGCGTGAAGGAGCCCCACTCAGAACTGGCACAGGCTGCACAGGGCATGCGTGGGGGCAGATCGCTTCCGGGCACGCAGCTGGGCATCTGCTCAGAAGGGAACCGCACGTCTCGGAGCTGCAGAGAGCCTCGGGGGAAGCACGGTGAAGTCTAGTGAGCAGAGCAGGTAGCCCTAGAGTGCACAGCGAAAGAGGTGCCAGCGGCCCGCAGCCTGGCAGCGCTCCAGGTGTGGTTAGCATGCAGAATCTCTGCCTCCCCCCAGGACCCGCCACGGGTTCAGCAGGAAGAGGACCCTCAGCACCCAGGCCCAAGCCCCTCCTCCTCCGGCTTTGTCTCCTCTAACAGCTGAGACTGCTGGCTGCTTGGAGAGGAATCTGCATGTTCACAAGCGCCCCAGGTGATTCCTAGGCACACTCCAGTTCCAAAAGCACTGCTTTAGGTCAGGATGCCCCCTTCCTGCCCCATGCTTCCTGCGATACACTCTAGTCCTCGTGCGCCCCCCCCCCCCCCGCCGCCCAGTGCTGTAGAGTGGAGACCAGTGCGCAGTGCAGCTGGGAGCAGACTCTGACGGCAAACTACTCAGTTTAAAGCCGGCTGCACAGGGCGGCTGGGAAGAGGTCCCAGGAAACAAACTGCCCACCACAGTGCCTGGCACTCGGCAAAGCTCTGGGTCCACCTCAGCTATTTTTAGCAACGGCTGTGGAGATAAGCGCTCTGAGAATGGGGGGCGGGAGTCTCTTGGAGGCACTGATATGGAAGCCGAAAGACCAGTCACGAGCCATGATCTGGAGGAAGAGCACTCCAATCTGTAGAAATAAAAAATGATCAGCGGGGTAGCAGCTGAGATCCCTGTGGGCCATGAAATGTAATCTAAGTAGGCCTGGAAGCCACTGAAGGCTGACGGGATGCGGAATGTCTTCAAAGATCACTCTGATTATGGCGCACGGAATGGGCTGGAGGGCACAAGAGTGAAGCAGAAAGACCAGCTGGGAGGCCCCAGAGGTGGTCAAGGCAAGAGCTAAACACCAGCCTGGACTAAGGTTGTGACCAGTGGTTAGATTCTGAAAACATGCTGGAGATGGAGCTGCTGCTGGACCGGGCCTGAGGATGGATGCCTCTGAGTGTGCGGTCCGAGTAAACTGAGTGAGGCGGTAGGAGAGCTGGTCACGGAGGGTCAAGATGTCCGTGAGATAAGCAGCGAGGAGGTCCACCAGCGGCTCACCGAAGGCCGGGACTTAGGGAAGGGGTCCTGGCTCAGACTCAAACGGTTACCACACTTTAAGCCCCTGAAGACAAAGACGAGGCCTTTCTCCCCTGCAGAGTCCTTCAGCATTGTACAACGTGCACAGTGCAGAGGCTCGACGCACATCGATGCACTTCCAGACAAAATGAGGTTTTCAGAGGATGGTGATCACCATGTTGGCGCTTAGGTGAGAATCTGTGGAGCAGTGTGTCTCTAAGGGAGTAAGGATTCCCCGGGATGCAGCATGGGTGTTAGTCCCTGAAGGCTGGCTCCCTTTATGGAAAGGAAAGCAGGCCAGGTTTGGGAATAAGGGGAGAAGCCCAGGAGGAGGGGTGCACTGCTGGAGAAATGGCAGCAGAATGAAATACTGGCTCAGGGAAGTAGGAGGACCTCATGTAGAGGGTCTGGAGAGATGAGGGAGCTGGAGTCATGCCCACTGCTCCCTGCTTCTCATGATGCCTGCAGGTGGACACAAGCTCTTGGCAGAGATGGCCCAGAATCCAGCCAGAGATCTTCCCTCTCTAACACCGATGAAAGCTTCCTGTTCCCGAGCGTAAAGAGAGCTCCCCAGAGACTGTCCAGAGAAGAGCACCCACTCTCCCCCGAGCGGCCCAGCACACTATCCCGCTAACCTAAAGGAGCCCGCTCTCACCTTCTCCACTCAGCTCAGTCTCCGCACAACCCTTCTGATGAGAGCAAAAGCCCAGGACAAACGCCTCCGGGTCTGTGCTCCTTTGTTCCGTACTTACCGAGCACTCCTCACACGACGTCCTGGGCCTTGCGGGCACCCCAGGATAAACAAGTCCCTGCCAGGGGACCCAGGGCACACGCCCTGACAACGGCGCAGAGCCAACCCGGCCGCGTACAAAGCAAGTGCACGGAGAAGGGAGAGCAGCCGCAGGGCGTGTGTGAAGCCTGCCTGGCCTTCACCACCACTGTGCTCCTGGCAGAACCAAGTCCTTCCTCAGGGCGCCTACTGCTCTGTCAAGTCTGCGGACCTGTCTCCGTCCAGCAACGCGACTCGGGTCCGGCGCGGTCTTGCCCAAAGCGCCCTCACTCTGCAAACACCCGTGCAACTGCTCCTAAGGTCGGGAATAGGGCCCTGTGGTCGCCAAGCCATAGCCCAAACCCCCACCTTGCTACTTCCTGGCTGTGTGCCCTGGGGCACGTCGCTCCACCTCTCTGAGCCTAACCGGCGCGCCGACCGCGCCCGCCTCCCAGCCGGCGCGGGCACGGAACGAGCAGGTGCGCGTCGTGCCGGCCGCTCACCCAGTTTCCGAAGCCGAACTGCTCGATGGCATCCAGCAGCAGCTGCTCCTCGCGGCTGGTCCAGCCGCCCTCTGCCTCGGGCCCCCACAGCGTGAAGCGCCCGCCGTCCACCAGCTGGTAGCCGTGGTAGCGGCGGTGGTGGCCGATCTCGGCGCCGGCCGAGAAGCACTCGGGGCACAGCTCGATGTCCTGGCACTCGGTGCAGCGGAAGCGCAGCGGGCTCACCTCGGCCAGGCAGTACACGCAGTACTTCTTACCGAGCTCCGCCATCTTCCCCCGCCCGCCGCCCGCGCCCGCCGCCGTCAGCGCGCCGCCGCCCGC